AGGGGGGGGGCCGGGGTAGCTTTTTAAAAGACAAAACTGTTTGGTTTCTCAAATGTTCATGAATTACAGTCTCAATACTAAGCGGACAAAGGCAGAATGGGGCAGTAAATCAGAAATAAAGGGGAAGCTCCATCCAGTAAGCAAACCCCGCCTCCCGGCCACATGGAAAAACACTCCGGCGCCCCGAGTAAATAAATAATAAAAGGATGTGGAAACAATACGCCTTGAAAACTGTCCCTCCTCTGTGCTCCCGGCCAGAAGCAGCACTGGCGGGTTCAGGCTGCCGGGTGGTGAGCATTTATTTATCTAATAACACTGGAGTGCTTTTCAGAGAACCGGATCAGGCATTTCAAAGGCCTGAAGCCAGATTCCATGGATCCCATGATCCTACCCCAAGCTCCAGGATTAACCCTGAAGACAAGGCACCTGCTCGCTGGACCGGACACATGCCAGCAATAATTGTGGGGTCTCAGGCCACAGCATTTTCTCTTCCCCGATAGGAAGGCTCTTGGGAATATATACCCACAAGTAAAACAAAGCACAGTGATTTTCATGCTTACCACAACTAGCCTGTTTTTTGGAAAACAAACAAACAAAAACCCCACTTTAATTCATAAAAGTCCTATCTGTTTCACAAGTATCACCTCAACTTTGCTTGTTCACACATTTTCATACTATTTCTTTATTTTTTTCTTTATATTTTATTTTTCNACAAAAACCCCACTTTAATTCATAAAAGTCCTATCTGTTTCACAAGTATCGCCTCAACTTTGCTTGTTCACACATTTTCATACTATTTCTTTATTTTTCCTTTATATTTTATTTTTTCCATCACCATTTATCCCCTCTATTTTTAAAAAATATATCATTATTGATTTCAGAGAGAGAAAGGGAGAGGGAGAGAGACNTCACAAGTATCGCCTCAACTTTGCTTGTTCACACATTTTCATACTATTTCTTTATTTTTCCTTTATATTTTATTTTTTCCATCACCATTTATCCCCTCTATTTTTAAAAAATATATCATTATTGATTTCAGAGAGAGGAAGGGAGAGGGAAAGAGACAGAGAGGAACATCAATGATGAGAGTCATGNCATCACCATTTATCCCCTCTATTTTTAAAAAATATATCATTATTGATTTCAGAGAGAGAAAGGGAGAGGGAGAGAGACAGAGAGAAACATCAATGATGAGAGAGTGTCATTGATCGGCTGCCTCCTGCACACCCCATGCTGGGGATCGAGCCCAANTGCCCCCTGCTGGGGATCGAGCCCAAAACCCGGGCATGTGCCCTGACCGGGAATCAAACCGCAATCTCCTGGATCCTGGGTTGATGCTCAACTGCTGAGCCACGCCGGGCTGGGCAATCCCCTCCATTCATATTATTTCTTAAACAAGTGCCATCCCACCATCACAAGCAACTTGTGGAACAAACAGGCAAAGAGCAAAACACTAACGCTTGCTGAAAACAACAACAGCAACAACAAAACAAAGATGGAAGTAATAACAACCCGGGATCCCCGAGCTTTAGAGCTAGAGGGGGCTTTGGTGAACAGGAGAGAGGTTCAAGGACGTGCACCAGGGAAGGAAATTGGTAGCCTCGACGGGCCTAGAAAGGCCTAGAAGGAGAGCTCGCTGCGGAGCGGCAGCAGGCCTGCGAGCAGTTCGCAGCTAAGCCAGCCCCGCCGCACCTGCTGCACGTCCCCACGCTGAGGTCTGTCGGGGCAAGAAACCCGCAGGCGATCCCCGCCCAGGGCGGTGGGCTGGTTTCCCGGGTGTCCTCAGACCCATCCCACCGTGCAGAGCAGCCCGAGAAGGCACCTGGTAGTTAGGGATCAAACGGCTTTTTCTTGGGTGTTAATCTGTCACAGGGCATGTCCTGGGGTTTGATAACACTCGACTTAACACGATTTTACTCCCCTTCGCCCTTCCCTGAGGCACACAGATGCTGGCTATTATCCCATTTTACAGATAAGAAGCCAAAGCCTAGTTTTCTTCCTCAAAGACAAGAGCTGCGAGCATCTCGGAGGTGAGGACCCTGTAAGGTGGTGAGCCCGACACCCACGCGGGGCCCAGAGGCGAGGACCCTGTAAGGTCGTGAGCCCGACACCCACGCGGGGCCCAGAGGCGAGGACCCTGTAAGGTGGTGAGCCCGACACCCACGCGGGGCCCGGAGGCGAGGACCCCGTGACGTGGTGAGCCCGACACCCGCGCGGGGCCCAGGGGCGAGGACCCCGTGACGTGGTGAGCCCGACACCCGCGCGGGGCCAGGGTGAGTGACAAAGGAGTCTGTATTCTTAGGCAACGGGTGCGAGAGCAGCAACAGCACCCGGAGGACCAAATTCCTGGCCCAGGGCACCAATTCTGAAGGTGAGACGCCCGCAAAGTGTGACCCCTAGAACTCCTACGTATACGTTCCCCCAACAATGCATTAGAAAAGGCAGCAGCGGCCCCATCTGCGTTCCGCCGAGAACAAGTAGCACGCGTCCACAGGCCCCGAAAACCCGAGACCCTTCCCGGAGGCAGCGAGGGCGAGTCATCGGACCCCGGGGTCATTCAGGAGNCCCCAACAATGCATTAGAAAAGGCAGCAGCGGCCCCATCTGCGTTCCGCCAAGAACAAGTAGCACGCGTCCACAGGCCCCGAAAACCCGAGACCCTCCCCGGAGGCAGCGAGGGCGAGTCATCGCACCCGGGGTCATTCAGGAAGGGCGTGGCCTGGCCCTTGAAAGCCATTTTCTCATGGACCCCATCTGCGTTTCTTAAAAATCCCTCGTTGAATGGATTTTCATCTTCATCAAAACAAGGGATTATTACCCTAAAACCACCTAATAAATTATGGCAAATCCATGTGGCGTAATATTACAGTAGAATAGTTAATGGTGAGACCCGAAGAACAAGGTATGAAAATCAAGTTACAAATGTGTATAAAATGATGCCCCCTCTATTAATAGGTGGATATGCCTACGGTGGGTATTAATACATGCGCGCATAAATAATATTTATGTAGGAAAAGTGGGTGTGTGTACTGCAAGTATAGTAATGGTTATCTCTGGACGGCACAATTATGGGTGGTTTGTATTTTCTTTTTCATGCTTTTCTGTGACTTATACATATTTTCAATGATTTTGTACCAGGTCTATAAAGGTTTTTTTAGACAGCAAATGATTTTCAGGCTCTAAAATATCCTCACACACGTTTGGCGGGAGTGTTGGTAGGACCAGCTTCTCGGAGGGTAATGCGGACAGATCTGTACCATTTCTCAGGCACATAGTCCCACCCAGGTTTCTCGGGCATCTCACTCCCACACGTGCCCAGAGAAGCACAGACAAGAACGGTCATCATCGATCGTTTGTAAAGCAAAAGACTAGGAAATGTAAATGTCCATCAACAGGGAAATTCGAATAAATTAAGGCAATGCCTATTCAAGGTAATGCAGCCAGTAAAAAGAACGTGCCCTATGGACTGGCCTATCTCTAATTACGTGATTAAATGAACAAAGCGAGTTGGAGAAGGCATGCTATTATTTGTATGAAATTATTGTTAAGAATATATTCACAGTCACTTGTACGTGTGCTGGCTGTCTCTGGAAGGCTCGCCTAGAAAATTATAACCACGTTGCCTTAACAGAGGAGAAATGAGGGGGAAGGAGAGAGGAAAGCAGGTCAGAGGAAAGCAGTTCTCACTGGATAGCTTTCCGACTGTACTGTTGAATTTTTTACTACGTGCATCTGTTACTACAAAAACAAACCCAAACAAAACACTTGAAAGGCCTTGGGGGAAAACTGCACCCATTATCTCTCTAAGAGTCAGCACCTTAAGCCATGGTTCTCTTCATGTTAGAGGCAGCCACCTTAAAAAAATAAATTTAAAAAAAAAGGCTGCCTCCAGCAAACAAAACCCTGCAGTGGACCCTGCCACCTGCTGTTGGCCCAGCCCCCTCCCCAGACCTACCGGGCGCTTCCTGTGACGTCCAGAACCTGGTTTAGGTGAGTATGGGCTCGGCCAAAGCAAGAGCCCCATGTGACTGATAACAATGTCCCACTCTCACTTGTATGTAGTAAATAAGAAACAGTTTACCTTTCAGCAAAGGTATCGAGTTTCCCCAACTCATCGGAGAGGCCAACAAGGGAGTCCAAGGTCCCCACCTAGAAAGATCACAAAGAAGTCAGAGGCTCAGGTTTGGTGGCAGGGAAGCGAGGCTGTCTTTTCATCCAGTGCAGGGGGTTCTCTACCTTCCACCTTCAGTTAGCTGTCCTTGGTCAACAGCCAACTTGGGAACTGGGAAGAGCTCTTAAGGGAAATCAGTGGATATGGAAACTAAAAAATATATATATATATATTTTGCCCATAGGATAAATGGTCATATTTCTGCCATAGGAAGAAGCGACTGTGCTGCCGGGGCCTGCCCGCGGCTGCTTTTCCTGTCGGAATGGTGGCCTGCTGGTCATGGGTTAATCCCCACATCCGAGGAGGAGACATACTAGAAAGCGAATTAAGGAAATTACCGTTTCTAAAAATTTTCCTCTCCAAGAGAGTCCAGCCCATCCCTTTCTCTGTCTTTCTTTGAGGTTATTAATAGTGACCTTGCTGGGGCAGGGGACAGCTGTTTCCTCCCACCTCACCATTCATGGAGGTCCTTTCCTTTCCAAACACAGCAATCTGCTCCTCAGTGTGGAAATCATTAGAGTCCAAAATTGTATTTAAAGGTCTATCCGCAGAATCGGAAGGAAAACCTCTGTTGTCACATTACCAACCACCAATCGGACATTAAAGAGTAACTAGGGCCCTGGCAGGCATGGCTCAGCGGTTAGCGCGTTGGCCTGCGGACAGAAGGGTCGTGGGTTCCATTCCCAGTCAGGGCACATGGCTGGGTTTCCGGCTGGATCCCCAGGCGGGGGCCTGCAGGAGGCAGCCGATCCATGTTCCTCTCTCATCATTGATGTTTCTATCTCTCTCTCCCTCTCTCCCTTCCTCTCTCTCTAAAATCAAGAAAAACATTTTTTTTAAAAAAAAAAGTAACTAGGAAATTATGAAGCCTGGATTCCCTAGTAAGCGAAGCTGTCTCTTTTCAAGAAACCTGATTTTAAGCAACTTTGGGCAGGGGTCCTGTCTTTTTCTCTCTGTTCCCTCCAGTCTAGCGCAGTGCCTCACAGAGTCAAGGACGAGTGGGTGGTGCTGAATTTACTCACCGTCACAGCATCTGTCACTGGACAAACACAGTGGCAGGTGTGACAAGTCGGCAAGATCTGGGTTCAGAACCCAGAGCTGCCACTTAGCAGCTCTATGAGCCTGGGGCCCCTTCCCAGGCCGCGCTGATCTAGAATGTGGGACTGGCGAAGATTCGAGATGATAGTTTAAAGGGCCCGACCCCCAGCAAACAGCTGGACACACGCTAGCAAACGCAGTAGCATCACCGACTATGGCAGCTAACGGTGCAGCTCTTCTGGCAAGAGGCACGCTGAGGCTCCAAAGAGGTGTGTGTGGCGGGGTGCTGGCAGAGCCACCTCTTGCGGGGCGCGCCGTGTCCCTCCAGCACTCTCAGGGGCCCCTTCCCCTTGGAAACCTACGACCTTAGGAAGCACTGCAGACAGTCCCCTCTCTTGGAAGTGAGAAGACTGTGCCTGCCTTTCTCTGCCATGTTTGTTTCAACCCAACTTTGTTCTCCAATGCAAGAGCCCGTGGACACTCCTGCGACTGTCAAATCCCTTTCTGCCACCTGAACCCCCTTGCCTGCCTCTCCGACAGGACCAGGGGATCCTGGGTTTCCCGCCCTGGCCCTGGCTCCAGAGCACAGTCAAGGCTGAAACTCCAAGCCCGCACATCTAAACGGCGTCCTCAGACTCCGTAGATGTTGAAGGCGAAGCAGGAAGAATCTGAAAGCACCTCACAGGAACTCAAGTGGGTAAGATGCCTCTCCCACTTTTTGAAGACACTGCTCCCCACACCCTCTCCCCCAGTTCGTTCCATCCTGTGGCCTTAAGTCCACAGGTGCCCGCGACTCATTCGGGGCTATGGCATGAAGTCCCACCCAGACCACTGACTGCCCTGTCCCACCCCCAGGCTGATGGTCAGCGTCGCTGCCGTGGCCCCGATTTCCTTCTGGGCTTCCCAAAAATACCTCCTCCACCCAGCCGCCTCCCTCCCCCTCCCCAGGAGCTGTACCTTGAAGTCGGGGATGGCGAACTTGGTGTTATAGGACAGGTTGGACTTGGACGTCACCGTGTTCATTCTTTCCAGAGCTTGCAAATTCTCCTTGTCGCCAGGGGCAGAAATCAACCAAAACTCTGACATGGTTCCAGTCTTCTGTTAATCCAGTTACGGACCAGAACCACAGCCAGGCACACAAACAGAAACAGGAGGGGACAAGTGTCAATGCCTCTGTTTCTCCACCACTCCCTTCCCCGGGAAGTAATGCTCTCGGGATCTGTCACTTTTCCTGTTTCCCATTCTCGGTGCCCTTGACCTTCCTTGCAGTTCAGATTCCGTAGTTGCAGGGACACCCACGAGCACAAGCTGGTCTGCAGTGTTCTTATCTCCCCCTGAAAAGCCCTCAGGTCTTCACAGAGATTCCCAAAGGTTCTCCTTTCCCAGGTGGCTCTGGCTGGTTTCCAGGAGGGGGAAAGAGGGGAGGGCGTGCTCCCCTTTCCTTCCGCTCTCCCCAGTCCAGTGCAAGACCCTACCTGACATCATAAAGCAGGGGGGCAGTACCCTGGGCTCGGGCCCGTCTGGAATGATATTTTCTCCCTTCCACGCTGCATCTTCCGGGATGCAGGTTGGGGTGGAGGCAGATATGAGACAGGGAGGCGTTTTCACAATAGGCCATCTGGGCAAACCCCAGATCTTAACTCACCAGCCTTGCGATGGGCACCAGCTTTAAACATAGACTTCAGGCCCTGGTGGGGTGGCTCAGAAGGTTAGAGCATCATCCGGATACACCAAGGTTTTGGGTGTGAATCCCCTTCAGGGCACATATAAGAGTTGATGTTTCTCTCTCTCCCTTTCTGTCTGTCTCTCCCCCCCTTCCTCTCTCTCTCTCAAATCAATCAGTTGTGGGGTTTTTAAATAGACTTCATAAGGACTCGTCTTTTTTATAAATTAAGGGGGGGGGGAAGTGTGGGGGCAGAGACTACTAGTGTCCACCCTGCAGACTGGGTAACTTGCTGGGCCTGGCAGTTTCTGTCCAGCGTCTGCGGCCTCTAAAGTCCATTAGTTCTGCTCCTTCGAACACGTACACACCCACCTTTCTCCCCTCATTGTCTCTCCCTCCCATGGCCTCCCCAAAAGCGTCTCCGGGCGGCTAGGGGGAAACAGGGCACAGCCAGACACCCATCTCCTCGCCCTCCACGGTACGCTTAGTCCCTCCCGACCCAGCGCACACCGAACGCGGCCCCTCTCTGCCCTGGGGCCCGGGGCCCGCCTGGCGCAGCGCGC